TAATATTAAATAATAATTAACTACTTTTTAAATTTAGCGTTGGAAATATCTGAAAGAAAATTAAATTATAGTGATTTTCTATAATAGTATATTGTGTATCAAGTGCGGAAAGTGGACAATTGGTCACGAGTGCGGGAGATGGACGCACGAGCCAAAGGCGAGTGCGATCATCCCACACGAGTGAACAATTGTCAATCCGCACTTGATACACATACTATTTTGTATTGCAAGTGCAGGCAAAGTGGCTGTTTCGGCGCGTTTTCTGTGCGTGAGGCGGCCGAATCGCACGCCGCCATCTTGCCGCGGCACGGTGGGGGAATAGCCGGTTTCAATACATTTCCTACGGCTTGAGCCGTATACAATGACTTTTAACGCGGCTCAGCCGTAGATAATGGCTTTGAAACCGGCTTATTCACTCACCGCGTCGCCGCTAGATGGCGGCAGGGGAAATCGGCCGCTTTCGTCACAGAAAACCTACACCGAAAGTGCCACATTGCCTGCACATGTAATACAAAATGTGTAGATTTTCTATAAGATGAATAGCGTTGGTACTTTTTATCTTCATATGTATCTTAAGTTGAAATTTCAAATTTCAAAATGTTTTTTTATTTTGTGTCTACGGTAATTTTTCACCTAGTTTCAATGATTTGAAAATAGCTTAATTTTTAAGATATGAAGTGTTCCCTATTTTTTAGTAATACAAAATAAATGTTGTGTAAAATCCTACAAGTTTATGCAATTGCATATATCTACAAGTTTTATTTTATAATAAATCTGTTTTTTTTTCATAAATATCAAGTCTGTTCAATAATTCCTTAGTATTGTAATTGAAAAAATCTCAAAATATTATTTTGTTAACGCTTTATTATAATTTTTAAATTATAATCTGATTCGCAAATATTAAACAGATCTACAATCTGTAATTTACGCAATTTATGCGCCATGTGTTCGGAAAGATATAGATAATTGATATTCGAATTATTGAGGAGAATCTGATTCGATCAAAATTTAACTTCGAAACTCGACATTTTTATCAATGTTTGTTAGTTGTCAGTAAGTATCATTGAGAGCTGACTAAATCAATTAATATAATATTAGCAGATTAAAAAATTATATAAATTAGAAAATTTTTGTAACAATTAAAACTGTTTTATGCCAAAAAATACAACATAGTACTCAACATTTATATTTTCACTTTTAAATTTGTTGTACTAGACAACACAAGCGCGCGCTAAACAAATTTTTGCTCCGCGAGTGTACATAATTTTAATTTGCTAAATATCTATTATAAACCTAATTTTAATTTGTCGAATTTTTATTGTGCACAAAATTTTAACTTTTTATTTTTTATTATGTACATAATTTTAATTCGTTTTTTACTAGTTAGGCTCAGTAAATAATAATTAAAGAGTAACAAATAGGCAAAGAGCACGTACACGATTTTGGTGTAAAGTTGTAATAAAGCAGTAACAGCAATTAGTTGTCAAACGTTTTGGTTATTATTTAACCATCTTCAGTGACCAACTTTAGAATAGCAGTGATATCAGTCAAAAAACAACGATCTATGTCGACATATTAAACGGAATTGTAATAATTTTAATTCTTGAATTTCTATTATGCACATAATTTTAATTCGCCGTATTTCTATTATGTAAATAACTGAAATTGTACCTTGACACATAACCTTAAAGACAAGATCAAAGTTGAAAACGTCATATCCAAACGTTAAATTTTTCAATCTTGACATTTTTAGGTCAAAATTATGTATTTTCAATCCTAAAAAAGTCCGGTTTGACCTTAATAATAATCTTAACTCATGACTTTGAGAATAAGGGCAAAGTCACGGCTGAATGACCCTCGTTGACCTCTACAATTCTTATGCGTAGCATTGCTCCCTAGCAGGTGCATTTTCGAAGATATTCGCGTTTTCAACCTAAAACAAGCGTTTGACTTTTATGTGACCTTTCAAAGTTGGTCAAATTTGGCAGTGTTCAAGGTCATGTCCGAACGTAAAATTTTTCGCTTTTTTCATTTCTCAAATGATCAAAGATATGGGGATCAAGACTATGGGGCCCTATTTAAAAAAATAGATTTGACCTTAAAATGACCTTCAAGATCATTGTCAAAGTCAAATCCAAGGTCACCGTCAGATAGCCAAGGAAAAAATCATAAAAACCCAGTATTTAGCATTTTTTCTAGGACTCATTTTTCGAGTTATTCTGCTGTTCCAGTACTTTCATAACACCCTGTATATATATATATATATATATATATATATATATATACACACAGGGTGTTATGAAAGTACTGGAACAGCAGAATAACTCGAAAAATATGAGTTCTAGAAAAAATGCTAAATACTGGGTTTTTATGATTTTTTCCTTGGCTATCTGACGGTGACCTTGGATTTGACTTTGACAATGATCTTGAAGGTCATTTTAAGGTCAAATCTATTTTTATATATATATATATATATATAATATACATTATTTTTATATTACATATACATATTGTGAAATTTCGAAAGAGCGAAAGCGATATTCAACGCGATACCCGAGCGCGTTAGATGGTTGCGAGAAAACTGAGAGAAGAGGAAACTGATTTCTTAGTGTTTCTTAACAGCGTATAATCTCCAAAATTCAGTAAACCGAAATATAGTGAGTTTTGACACAGTTTAGTGCACGAATTACAGTTCGCCGATTTCCGCAATCGCAAGTGCAACGTGCGAAGTACCGAGTGTTCGACCACGGAGCGCGAAAAGTAAATCAGCTATATCGTACTGCTTGCGTGAATGTTTTCGAGGCGAGTGAATAACAAAGAATTCGGATACAACGCAAAAAGGCGGCTGTATCTCTTCGACTCTCGAGCAGGTTCTTGAGTTTGGAGACCAACAAACGTTGGTCTCGTAACATTATTTAATGGATTGTCTCGGAAGTCAGGGGACAAAGCTGTTTATTATTCTTCATCTTTCTTATTTACTCGAGGGAGCGTTTGATTTAGCATGGTATTGCAAACGCGCACAGCGAATTGAGGCGCGCTAAAGCGGGAGCGCAAAAGAGAAGGCTGCGCGCGCGTGTGAGCGCGAGAGAGGACGGCGAGCGCGCGGATGCGCGAGAGAAAGAGAGAGCGACGGACACGCGAGACGAGCTGCGCTGATTAATTCTCTCTTTCATTGCGCCAATTAATTTTGTTCTCCCTTCTCGCGGGGAGATCCGCGACACATATATTTCCTAATGTTTATTTGGATCAATAAGACCGTCACACCAAACGTATAAATGAACAAATTAGTAATTAAATAAAATTGAATATATTTTATTTTGCAATTTTTCTGGAACGTTGCTGTAATATTCTCATAAAATATTACATGGCAATTATATGTTCTTGTAATGTCTCTAAAATGTTACATTGCAACTTGAAAGATTGTAACATTGCTGCAATGTAACTGCAATGTTCTGTGCTGTATGGGTAATTTGTTAGGGATAGATCGGAGGATAGCATAAGCATATAGAAAATATCATTCAGGTTGAATATGAATTGAAAATGTATTTTATAAATAAATGAAATATTATATATATATAATATATAAGTTTATATATATATATATATATATATACACAGATATGACAACCGTTATCTTGATTTTTTCCGATTATTGATGTTACATTGTATAACTCTCATTTCTTTCTCTCTGCTACATAATAACTTATGACGTGAAAGAACTTACGAGTAACGTATGATGGCTCAATGCAAGAATATTTAATCACGTAAAAAACTTGAGTTCAAATATATCAATATCAATTTTTTATAATATATTGGAATATGAAAAATCATAGAAATATATTTGTATATAGGCGATAAACTTAAAAATTTAATATTGAAAATATTTTAATCATATTTTACAACTACACACACTATAAATATATAAATGCAAAATAATTCCGTAAATAAATTTCAAGTAATAAATCAATTGCACACATGCACACAGCTGGTATGTAGATTTTTATTAAATTTATTTTTAAATTTATTTTCTGAATTATTTTACACTTATATATATAGTGTATGTAGTAAAAATATTTTCAATATATTAAAAAATTTTTAAATCGCCGAAATATATTTTTTTATCATTTTTCTATATTTTATATATATATATATATATATATATATATATATATATTATAAAAAAATTGATATTGAAATATTTGAACTCTAATTTACTGGATGATATACTGAACATCCTTGCATTGATTATACATTACTCAACGTTCTTTCACGTTATAAGTATTTGGAGCAAATGATACAATAGCATCAATAATCAAAAAGAAATCAAGAATAATCAACATATCCCTTATATAATATATATATATATATATATATATATATATATATATATATACGCACATATGTGCATAAGCATATATAAAATTTACAAAAAGTAGGTACTTATTAGCCTTGCTACGCTACTGCCTTCTGCTACGGAAGGCCAGAAAGCATTTTCAGGCCGTATCTCGCGAATACCGGCACGATAGAGGAACAAGGAGAACACGTAATTATCGGTCCTTGTCTCTCTACGGTGCGTCCGCGTGAGCAATGCAATAGTGTATGTACGTGTACAGACATGCACCACTACATAAAACCCGAGAATTGGTTTCTCGGCGTTGGCAACACTGAAATCGGAGTTTCGCGTTGTCACCGCGCGAGGTCTTCAACATCAATTCGGAGTCTGGGTACTTATTACGGTTCTTTGGATGAGTTTGCTCACAAGGTGAAAATCACAAAAGTGAGAGATTCACTAGGTTGTCTACGCTTCTATTGGTCAAAATCTAGTGAATCTCTCACTTTTGTGATTTTCATCTCGTGAGCAAACTCACCCAAATAACCGTAATAGGTACCCTGGCCGGACGATCTGTCGACCCTTAACATTTGACCATCTCATTATACTGACCAGTTAATGGCGTATGGGCTCCAATAGCTGAAGCCCAACCAGCCATAAAGAGAAGAAGAAGAAGCAGTCAAGCAGTCTAGTATTATATAGTCTATGGAAATAACGAGAGCTGATGATAAGCAAAAAGTGATTTTGTCGAATTTCGAGGATTTTAAGAATTTTGAAAAAAATAAAGATCAACTCACATAACACTTTTCTTTTTTTCACACTACATCGAGATATATTAAATATTTATCTGAAACATTATTACTCTTTAAGAATCCATTATGACACTTACAAATAAGGTAAGAATAATTTCAATTATTATCATTGCTTATTATTATTATTACATATGTAAAATACGGGGGAAGAGAGATAATTGTTATTAATTAGTATTTTTTATTTATAATTATCTAATTTTTTTAAAGATGGATATTGATGAAAAGAATATTAAAGGAGAAGGTTTTAAACCATATTACATTACAAAAATTGAAGAATTGCAATTAATTGTTGCTGAAAAAAGTCAAAATTTAAGAAGATTGCAGGCACAGCGTAATGAACTAAATGCAAAAGGTATATAGTTGTCTTAATGGTTAATATTTTTTTAATTAAGAAAAGTTTGATATTTTATATATTTTCACAGTATTATGTAAAACTATTACATACAATTATTATCATTATGTTTTCTCTCTTTCTCTAGTACGTATGCTACGAGAAGAGCTACAACTCTTACAAGAACAGGGCTCATATGTAGGGGAAGTAGTTAAACCTATGGATAAAAAGAAAGTCTTAGTCAAAGTACATCCTGAGGGCAAGTTTGTTGTGGATATAGATAAAAATATCGATATCAATGATGTGACGCCAAATTCGCGAGTGGCTCTGCGCAATGAAAGTTATACTCTGCATAAAATTCTACCAAACAAAGTTGATCCGCTTGTTTCTCTTATGATGGTGGAAAAGGTACCAGATTCGACATACGAAATGGTTGGAGGTTTAGATAAGCAGATAAAGGAGATAAAAGAGGTCATAGAGTTACCAGTCAAGCATCCAGAATTATTTGATGCTCTTGGAATTGCGCAACCTAAAGGCGTACTGTTATATGGACCACCAGGTAGGCAGTTTGATATAAAAATATATGTATTTTATTATACTTAACTGTAAAATAAATCAAGACTCAATCTATTTAATTACATATTGTAATAATGCAAAAAAATTCTTAGGTACCGGTAAAACTTTACTTGCAAGAGCAGTAGCGCATCATACAGAATGCACCTTCATTCGTGTATCTGGATCTGAATTAGTGCAGAAATTTATCGGAGAAGGTTCGCGTATGGTTCGTGAACTTTTCGTCATGGCAAGAGAACATGCACCATCTATAATATTTATGGATGAGATTGATTCTATCGGTAGTTCCCGGATTGAATCTGGATCTGGTGGCGATAGTGAAGTATGTGTGACATTTTTATTTAAAAAAAAAATATATATATATATATATACATATATAGAAAACAACATCGTGTTTTTAAAAAGAACGAAAGTTGATAATTTTAAATTTAAATTAAAGTTATTCTTTCAAGGTCATTTGGAGGGCAACCTAGTTTTTTTAAAATAGAATCACTAATTTTTTATATAAATCAATTCTTTGGTGATTTGCCAGAAAAATTTAGAAAAGTAGGATGAATAGTTTACAAGATATTTTATATTTTAATTTGACATGATTTTACACTATTGAAACTTTGAAATATAATTCGTGGAATATTTATTTTTCGATGAGCTTATCTTAGTACTTTTATGTACAAAATAACGAGAAGAATAAATTGCTGTAATGAAAACACATTTGTCTTTGAGAAAAAGTATATGACTTACAATTAGCAATTATATATAATATTTTGTCTTAAAAGATTCCATTTAAAAAAATTAAGTTAACCTTCAAATAACCTTGAAACAATGAGTAATTTAAATTTAAATTATAATTAAAATTTATCGATTTCTTTCCTTCTTAAAATCAAACAACTTTTATCTGAGATGTTTTCCAAAGCGTGACTTTTTTTTTTATATATATATATTTAAGCATATTTTTGAAAATAGGACATCTTTTATATGCATATACGAATATAATTTCTTCTTTCCTAATTATATTAGAAATTATACTTTTAGGTTCAACGAACCATGTTAGAATTACTTAATCAATTGGACGGCTTCGAAGCAACAAAAAATATAAAGGTCATTATGGCTACAAACAGAATTGATATCCTGGATCCTGCATTGTTGCGTCCTGGACGTATTGACCGTAAGATTGAATTTCCACCTCCAAATGAAGAAGCTAGATTGGACATTTTAAAGATTCATTCTAGAAAGATGAATTTAACACGTGGAATAAATTTGAGAAAAATAGCTGAACTTATGCCAGGTGCATCAGGAGCAGAGGTTAAGGTAATGAAAAATTTAACTTTGATATATATATATATATATATAAAATAATTTTATATTAAAATAAAATAAATATATTCAAATATAATTTTTTGCTCTTAGCTGAGATATTTTTTTTCAAAAGTGCTTAGAAAGAAATTCTTAATAAGATTAAATAATAGATAAAAGTTGTAAAAAGATGTTTAGAGTCTTATTATATAAAAAGAAAGTATTTTTAGCAAATCTAGTATCTAGTAATTTAAATGTATACATATATGTTCTTCTCTCTCAATATATTATTTATTTTATAGGGTGTTTGTACGGAAGCTGGTATGTATGCTCTTAGAGAACGTCGTGTGCACGTAACTCAAGAAGATTTTGAGATGGCAGTAGCAAAGGTAATGCAGAAGGACTCTGAAAAGAATATGTCAATAAAAAAATTATGGAAATAAATCAACTTTGCAATTTTTTCAATGTTATATTTATTAATGATCTTCAATCTGTTTGCATTACTTTATGAGCAAATTAAGACGTGTAAATGTGTAGGATCTTTGTATTAGATTACAGCTAAATGCTTTATAAATTATATAAATGCTAATAAAACTTTAATTTAAAAACACTTTTTATTACAATATCAAATCATTAATAATTGTATTTACACAAATGCCATATGATTAAATTAAAACAATAAGTTTTAATAATTATGTGTGGTAATAACAATGTCATTAAATTAATATAAGATTTCTATATATCTTTAATAGCAAATTGCTCTATTATTTAAATACTTCCTCATGAAATATATTTAAGAAACCGTATAATAATTATTTCTTTTATTCTCGATTTTTATTAAACATAATTCTAAATTTTTCTCTTAACCTTTAGAGGACGGGAAGCCAATATTTTGGCTTTGAACTATTTTCACTTTAAATATTTTATATAAGGATGTTTTTAGTAATTCGAATTGAAATTTTATTTAAAAACTGAAGTTTTTACGGATTACATCAGTTGATGATATACTCATATATATTTTAGTGAAAAAAATTTTGTTAAAACAAATATCTATCATATTTTGTTTTTCAACTGCATTATTTTGTGTAATTCTGTAATATTGTCGGTCAACTTAAAAAAATATATGTATTACAAATTAAAAATTCCTTTTTATGTATTGATTATTATTTTAACTCTATGAAATTCTCAAAATATATTTTCATAACGTAAATTTTTTAAAATGACCATTTTTCTCATTCGAAACTAAGATAAAAGATGAACTCTTTGATAATTATAATTTCATAATGGTTCTGTGAAATTTTTCTATTTTTGTTACCGTACCGGACAAGAAGCCAATATATTGGCTCTATAAGGGTCGCTTATTTTTCATAGTACAACACTATAATAAAGATATAAAAATTTTTACTTTAAATTACAAAAGTTTACGAAAAAATACGCCCGTCCTCTAAAGGTTAATTTAACTTTCTTGCTAATATGCACACTATTAAAAAAAAAAAAAAAAAAAAAAAAAAATAGAAAATACTTTTCTTATCCTAAAATAGTTTATGAAACTTGAATATAGAATTTTTCAAGACAAATTTTTTATCGAGGTACAGAGTATCAAAAATATGTAATTTTCAGAAACAAAACAATGCGTTCTTTTTTAAAGCATAGAACGGAAAGATAAAAAATTTTTTTTAAACCCACAAATTTTGCGTTAAAGTTGAAACTTCAGGCTTCAAAATGTTTTTTTAATTTTTAATTCTACGATGATTTTTTGCCAAGTTTTCTTTGATTTGAAAATAGCATAATTTTTTTTAGGATAGAGTGTATATTTTGTATTTAAAATAGAGAAAATATAATCCTATATATTAATAATTTTAGAATAGAAGAAATCAACTATATTTTGTATCCAATAAATTTATTCTGTGTTATATGTGATGTAAAAATGTACGCGAGTATTAATAAAAGAATAGTGGTCGATAATTTTTGTTCTATTTTGTAGATATATAGAGCAAAATATTTTTCTATGATTACAAAATATCTGTATACTAAATATAATATATAAGACCCAAAAGTAGAATTTGTATATTGTCGCATATCTTCTTTTGTAAAATTTTTACATCCAATTCTTAAATAATGTTGACTCTAATTTTGTGAATAACTAAATGCTTCATAAATATTTGCTCCAAGAATTTTAAGTTCATTATTTAATATTAAATGTTGAAGCCAATCTGCTGCTATGTCGTTTGATGTTGGATTATCTGGAACTTGTCCATTTACAATAGGAATAATTTTGGCCAAAGCCATAGTAGTTTTATTAATATTTACAAATTCATTGGACGAATTATTTGTAGCTTCTTGTAAGTATGTGGAAGCTGAATTTTTGACGTTTGACTCCTCCGAACATGATGTACCTGGTACATCATATTCATTCTCCTTTTTAGGAGAATTATGGAAATATACAGATATGTGATCCATTAATAAAACAAATCCACTTCTGACATTTCTTTGCATTAAATCTTGCACCTCATCGCTCTCTGATATATCCAACATCTGATTAATCAATTTTATATAGATGGATGTGTCATTGTTTTCAGTGTTTTCTTGTTGCAACATATATTGCATCAAATTTTTACAGGATCTACTGAGCTTTCGGCAGATATACAAGATGTAAGCGTCCAATAAATTTGCTCCAAATCTCTTAATGTTAATTGCTCTGTCAGAGACAATGACTGCGTAACCATGACCACTTTGCTCTGTATGAGATTGCTTAAAGCCTTAATGCTTTCGTATATAAAATAGCTAGAAAGTGTCATATACTTTGCTTGTACGTCATTTCCAATAATCCCATTGTCATTCACATTCTGTGCATCTTTATACATGTGTCCACTAATCAGAGAGAGCTGAATTCTAAGAAACGTAGCTAACATTGTATAAGAATAAATTATTACAGCCGGTCGTGTGATTGCTAATATTTTTAATTGATTCCAAGATGCTATCTTATTAGCAGAGCCATCTTTAAGTTGGTTTATAATAGTCTCTGTATTATTTTCTTTGATCACAGAGCTTCTTAAAGTTGTCGCAAGAGATAATATCGTTTGATTGCATGTCTTCTCTATGCTTTCATAGTGTTGTCGCTTCTTTGTCTTTTCCATTAACATCCTTATCTCATTATCCTGCCATTCTCGAAGCTTGCGCTGGGTATAACGTGTCAAAAAAATGACACTGCCAACAACGATACTCCCAGCTACAAACTTGCGCTTATGACGTTTAAAGAAACCCCAAATGCTCGAAAGCATGATTAACACAGTTGTACAAATCTAATATACACACAATATATAAATATATTATCAACTTTCTATAACTGACAGAAGAGGAATAAAGTACGATACATCCTCAGAATGATGAAATTATTCTAAACCATTCGCTTCAGGTTGCAAATTTGTTGCAATACGTTCTATTCTATTTGTAATATAATTAGTAGTGTCAATGAATCTTTCCACACAATTTACAAGACACTTGTGAACTTTAGGCTCCAGGCGTGGTGATGGTTTGTCCATACAAGTCTCCCAACAAATACCTGTTAGTTCATGCACTAATCCCTGAAATATTAATAAATTATAACTTCATATATTGTTCTCGTAAAGAAAGATACAATTAATAATCATTTACAGATTATAGATATAAAAATAAACAATAAACTTTAAAAATAAATTTATACGTAAATCAAGTATGTATCACATTGGGATTGAAGTAAAAATATTTATTATAAAAAAATATTTATTATGTTCTTTCCGATAAAAAAGTATAAATATAAAATGTCTATCTACGAATTTTTACTTGCGCTAAATAAAATCGAAACTAACTTGAAATTGTTGTTTCTTCGTCTCAGTTTCAATAAAATGTTGTAGTCGATCATCTACGATAATCTGCTTATCTGAATCTTCCGTAAAATTCATAATTTTAATCCTCGTATTCTTCTTTTTTGCCACATTAATGCAAATTAACTAATTTATAATGGTAATTACTTTTTACCTTTGCACGATGATACTTGAAACTGATTTATTTACTCTGGCTGCGTTCCGAAATTCATTGCCAGAGAGCTGAAAATCTATAGTATACGTATCTATAGTGACGTAACTATAAAATTTCAGCACTAGCGGTAAATATTGGAACGCACTATGACCTAGTTTACATCGTCGAAACATTGGTACGCGTATTAAACAGCGTATTAAGCTAAGTCTACATTAGTCGTAGAATCGTAGATTGTAAGAAAATTGATCCAATCACAGTCGATTATTCTCCTCACATTTAACTATGATTGGATCAATTTTCTTACGATCTACGATTTTACGACCAATGTAGACCCGACTTTAAGTCCGAGCATAATTCGCCACGCACCCATATGATTGGTTGAACGGGATCTTAAGTCAACCTTCGACCAGACTTAAGGGTCGACAGGCGACATGGTGGAGACGCCTATCGGCCGGCCGGGAATTACGGATTCTTATTTTCCAGATATTAGCGAAAATATTGAATGAATCTTATTAAATTTAGGATATTCTTAATCAGTAAGCTCATTTGTAGTCCTCTAAAGAGCTATTTTATGAAAAAAAGATAAAAATAAAAATTTTTAATAAACTTGGGGGAATGCACAGCTAGGAACGGGTAAGGTTGGGTTAGCCGCGAGTCCGTATTTTATTTATTATAAATTTTTAAGAGCGAAAATGTAAAATCCGGCCTTTTAGAGGACTGCTTTATTATATAAAGAATATATTAAAAAATAATTCACGAAGTTATGTCACTTATTTAATGAAATATCTGGACGATAAGATTCTCACTAGATTCATAAGGAGCAGGGGAAATTTCTGTGGTAACATACTGACTGCTTGACAAGGAGAGAGCATCATTCCATCTTTGTCTTTCTTACATCGCATATGTAGTAACGTCCATGTAGGTACAAAAACTAATACGTGAGCACACGGATGCAAATATTGAGAGATAATGTCAGCAAAAAGGCTATCATATTATTTTTATTTTTTTGTATATGTATGCATATGTAAATAAAGAACAAAAATAAAAACTATTTTAAATAATAAGAATCTATTTGTGTGTGTGTGTGTGTAATTAAAAATTAATAAAAAAATTAAAAAATCAATTTATATACCATATATTTTTTTTATATCATATAAAAAAATCTTAGAAATGTACTTAAATTTTTCGTAGATCCTCGATTTTTTTCATTGCTTCTAAACATTCAGCTAAAAGAGCAGTTGAGACTATTCGAATAAAAAATATTTCATCTTATTTTTTGCAAATAATATAATATATTTTTTATTTAGGAGTCCAAAAATATATGTTACGCATAAGTTATTTATAATTTTCGTTCAAATTAAGAGAATATTGTATTGAATATATTGTAATGCATATACACATTAATTTTCATTAATTTACTTGTTTAACAAAAACATGGTTTTTTGATAATAATTTAAAATTATTTCTGCTCAGTGATTTTTAAATAGCCGCAGTATATTGACGGTGCAAAGGTAGCATAATCAATTGTTTTTTAAATGAAAACTGGAATGAAGGAATTGATTAAAGCTGTTTTAATTTGTAGATTTAAAATTTAAATTTTAAGTTAAAATTCTTAAAAGAAATTATGGGACGAGAAGACCCTATTAAATTAATATAATTTTTTTATTTAAGGAAATAAATTTTATTTTAATGATTATATTTTATTGGGAGGATAATTAAATAAAATGAACTTTAATTTAAAGATAATTTTAACATTAATTAATGAAATTTTTATAAAGGATTGATTATTAAATTAAGAAAATTTTTTTTTTATAATAATTATAAAAATTAATTACCTTAGGGATAATAGCGTAATATTTTTAGAAAGATCATATTAATAAAAATGATTGCGACCTCGATGTTGAATTAAAATAAAAATTAAATAAAGAAGTTTAATATTTTAGTCTGTTCGACTAATAAAATTTTACATGATTTGAGTTCAGATCGGTGTAAGCCAGATCGGTTTCTATCTATAATAAAATTAAGAAAATTTTGTACAAAAGGACTTTTTTTAAATTATATTTTTTTTAATGAATAAATTTAATTGATCAAATATATGTAAATAAATAAAATTACTTTGGCAAAATTTAAGTGTATTAAATTTAGAATTTTAATGATGTATAATAGAAAAAAGTTATACAAGTAATAATTTGTCAAAATTTAAGATTATATTTTTATAGTGCGTTAAATATATTAAGATTGTTAATTTTGTTATTAATTATATTAGTTGGGGTAGCTTTTTTAACTTTATTGGAACGAAAAATTTTAAGATATGTACAAATTCGTAAAGAACCTAATAAGGTGGGATTTATAGGATTATTTCAATCTTTTAGTGATGCTATTAAATTACTTAATAAAGAATTATTTTATGTATATAAATCTAATTATAATTTTTTTTATTTATGTCCTATAATTAGATTTGTTTTAATAATAATATGATTAGTATTTCCTTACATTACTAATATTTATTTTTTAAATTATTCTATTTTATTAATAATTGTTTTTATAACTATTAGAGGGTATGTTATAATTTTTATGGGATGATCAGCTAATTCGATTTATTCAATAATAGGAGCAATACGATCAGTTTCACAAATATTATCATATGAAGTAAGATTTATTTTAATTATTTTAGTTATTATATTAATAAGAGAGAGGAGAGATATTCTTTTTTTGATTTTATTAATTATCAATTTTATTTATGATATATAGTAGTTTTATATCTTTTGTTTATTATAGTGTTTATTAGGATTTTAGCTGAATTAAATCGAAGTCCTATAGATTTTATCGAAAGTGAGTCAGATGATTTAATATTGAATATTTTAGGGGTGGGTTTACATTAATTTTTTTATCTGAATATGGAATAATTATTTTTTTAGATTAATTAGAATTTATATATTTAGGAATTTATTAAAATATTCAATAATTTTAACTTTTATTTTAATTAATATTTTATGTAGAATAGTAATTTTTATACATGGAATACTTCCTCGAATACAATATGATAAATTAATATATTTATGTTGGAAAATTATTTTACCAATAATTTTGGTTTATATTTTATTAATTTTTGGATTTAAATTTATATTATTAATAATAATTTAGTAAAAAAAATTAAATGTTTAAAAGTTAATAGAAAATTAAAATTTCTTTAATATGTTTTCAAAACATAAACTTAAATTCAAGATTATTAACTTAATTTAATAGTAATTTATAAAAAATTTAAATATTAAATATAATTATTTTTAATATTTTAAATTTATTTATAATAATAAATTTTAAAATATTTATTTAAAAATAATTAAATCTCAAATTTTTATTAGGAAAGGTAATAAGATGAAATAAAGAAAGTAACATAATGATAAAATTTGTCTAATAATGATAAAAGGTTGAGCTCCTGCTCATGTTAATAGAAAAAAAATATTAATGAAAATTCAAAATAAATATTGATTTAAAGGATAAAATGATAATGAATTAAATTTTATAGAAATTAGAGGTAAAAAATATAAGATAATAATTGATGATAATAATGCAATTACACCTCCTAATTTGTTAGGGATAGATCGGAGGATAGCATAAACATATAGAAAATATCATTCAGGTTGAATATGAATTAAAAATGTATTTTATAAATAAATGAAATATTATATATATATATATATATATATAAGTGTATATATATATATATATATATATATATATATATATATATACAGATATGAAAGAACTTACGAGTAACGTATGATGGCTCAATGCAAGAATATTTAATCACGTAAAAAACTTGAGTTCAAATATATCAATATCAATTTTTTTATAATATATTAGAATATAGAAAATCATAGAAATATATTTTTTATATAGGCGATAAACTTAAAAATTTGATATTGAAAATATTTTAATCATTTTACAACTACACACACTATAAATATATAAATGCAAAATACTTCCGTAAATAAATTTCAATAAATCAATTGCACACATGCACACAGCTGGTATGTAGATTTTTATTAAATTTATTTTCTGAATTATTTTACACTTATATATATGTAGTAAAAATATTTTCAATATATTAAAAAATTTTTAAATCGCCGAAATATATTTTATCATTTTTCTATATTCCAATATATATATATATATATATATATATATTGTATTATAAAAAAATTGATATTGATATATTTGAACTCTAATTTACTGGATGATATACTGAACATCCTTGCATTGATTATATATTACTCAACGGTACGTTCTTTCACGTTATAAGTTATTGGAGCAAATTATACAATAGCATCAATAATCAAAAAGAAATCAAGAATAATCAACATATCCCTTATATATATATATATATATATATATATATATATATATATATATTATTATACGCACATATGTGCATAAGGATATATAAAATTTATAAAAAGTAGGTACTTATTAGCCTTGCTACGCTACTGCCTTCTGCTACGGAAGGCCAGAAAGCATTTTCAGGCGGCATCTCGCGTATACCGGCACGGTAGAGGAACAAGGAGAACACGTGATTATCGGTCCTTGTCTCTCTACGGTGCGTCCGCGTGAGCAATGCAATGGTGTATGTACGTGTACAGACATGCACCACTACATAAAACCCGAGAATTGGTTTCTCGGCGTTGGCAACACTGAAATCGGAGTTTCGCGTTGTCACCGCGCGAGGTCTTCAACATCAATTCGGAGTTTGGCCGGCCGACCTGTCGACCCAAGGGTGACCCATAAATGATTATAATCCGTCTATCAAATTAGCCTGGGAGGGAAATATGGACATACAATTTATTAGAGAAAAATCAGAGTTTTTAAACTCATATTTAACAAAATACACGACAAAGTCGGAAAAATGCAATACAGACTTTGAAGTGATAGATTCGAATAAGTCCTTGGCATCGAAACTGTGGAATTTTGCAATGCGTTCATTAAATAACAGAGAATGCGGTGCTTTAGAAGCTGCGGATACACTATTAGGGAATCCCTTGTACGGTACGGATAATGATACC